GGGGGGCGGCAGGCCATGGCTTACGTGAACTCTTGTGTTCCCTCCGTCGCTGCCTCCTCCGCCCCATGGTGGTCCGGGGGCTCATGGGCTGGGGGCCGCGGGGGAGGGCGCCGGGGGTGGTGCGGGGGAGGCCGTGGTTCATGGTCGGCGAGGAAAAGGGCGTGGAGGACAAGGCTGGGGAGACGACACAGCCCCGTGAGCCCCAGCGGGCCCCCCACCCTGCCTCACGGAGGGTGCCCCACCACCACAGACGCAAGGGTCCCCCCTTTCCGCCCGGGGCACCGCTGGCTGAGTCCCCTCAGGCGGGACCCCGCGGCCCACAGCAAGGCCCAGGCCCAGGCCCAGCTCATCTCTGACGTGCTAGGCGGGACGGGGCAGGCCCCCGACTTCCCTGAATGTCGGTTTTGTGCGTCACAAAGCAGCCATGAGCCCTCCCAGGCCCAGGGGAAGGGAGGAAACCAGCGAGGGCGGCGGGGGCCAGTTACATCGACTCTGGTCCTGGCCGGCGGCTGTGGCCCAGGTGGGTGTCCTGCAGCGGCCGGGCCGCGGGCTGTGGCAGGCAGGCAGGCAGGGGTCCCAGCGATGAGGCTGCTCGCTCCTCTGAACCTTCACTGTGCAGCCGCGGAGACAGGAGCGGCATGAGGGGCCAGCGAGCGGGACCTGGAGGCCGCGCCCCTCTCTGCACGTGCGGCTGGCTGACTCTGGAGCCAGCCCCACGGCCAAGCGCTGCCGCGGGCCGGACGTGGGACGGCGGCAAGACGCTTACCCCTCTGTGCCTCGCTGTCATTGGTAAAACCGGCCCAAGCCTGCGGCTACCTCCGAGGGAGCTCTGAGTGCAGGCCCTGCCTCTGGACCAACCACCCCCAGGTCCCCGCTCCAGATAGGAAGAACCCCGTTCACAGTCAGGGCTTCAGGGGCCCCGGCCCCCATTGCCTGGCTGCCTTCTCTGGACCCACAAGAGCCCCAAACTGAACCCTGGATCCAAGTTCTGAGGAGCACAGAAGTTCTGTCCTCTCCCTCATTCTAACCCTTATACCTCTATTAATGCGACCAGTGATAGAACGAGGTGTGCAGGCACCTGTCTAGATCAGCAGCCCGTCAGCTCAAACCTTCAAGTTGTTTCTCTATCCCATCTTCCCCGTTTGACTGCTACCCTGGAGTTTGAGCTTTCCTGTGGGAATGGGCATTTTTTTCCAGGAAGCTTTAACCTGCTCAGAGCTTCAGCCTTAGGCTTCTGGGGCTCTGAATACCCCTCCTTATCAGCCCCCAGGCTTGAACTCCGTGACCCACCAAAAGACCCACCTGCCTCTGAGGGTTTCAGGGGCCGCCGACTCTGGGGAGAAGGCAGGATCTCCAACCGCACTTTCTCCGACACGCTGGCCAGGAGCTTGGTGGCCTCGAGCATGGAGCAGTGCTCAGTGCTGGTGCCGTCGATGGACAGGATGTGGTCTCCTGCATGCAAGGCCCCGCTCCTGGCCGGGCGCGGGCGTGAGGGGGGGCTGGTCCCGCGGAGCAGAGTTCCGGGCCACCTCCCCAAGGAGACCCTCCGCACACTGCCCGCCCTGCTGACCCGGCAGCACCTGGGTGTGCCTCACCTGTCCACCACACTGGCTGGTTTGATGCGCTCGATGGTGATGACAGGCTTGTTCCGGTGGGAGCCAGTAGCAAGGGAGATGCCCAGGGCGGACCCTGGCGTCTTGGTTATCTCCACTATCAAGGGCCCGGATGCATTGGCCACGGTGTCTGGCATGTGGAAGGGAGAACTAGAGTGGCCACTACAAGCCTTCCCAGCTCAGGAGAGGGCACCCCCCGTGTGCCACTCGTCAGCCAGTCAGGCCAGCCCAACCTTCACCACGCTTCCTGGTACCGGGCATCAAGGGACCCCTGGGGCACCGTGCTTATTGCCCACAGAGTGGCCACAGACCGGCCCAGGGCCACACAGCCGCGGCAGGGAGAGCTGCGCCCCCCACCCTGCCGTCCGCCCCGGCCTCCTCCGGGCGCCTCCGGACCTCAGGCCCCAGCTCACCTGGGATGACCACGTCGTACTCCACCTGGAAGAGGGCCTCGTGGCTGCACTGCCGCAGGGTGGCCAGGGCCGCGGCGTGGCTGGCCCCGTGCAGCGGGATCCCGTCCACGCTGAGCAGCCTGTCGCCCACCTTCAGGGAGCCCTCCCTGCAGGGAAGGGCCTGGTCAGCCGGCCTGGCCCAGCGTGAACACGGGCACAGCCCTGGCGAGGGGGCCCCGAGGGGGCGCCGGGCACAGAAGAGTGGGTACAGGAGGAAGGGGCGGCGCCACGAGCAGAGGAGCCCCAGGCCAGCGGGGGGCGGGGGGGGTGGCTGCTGGGGCGGCAGCTGACCCGCTCGGGCATCTCCCTCCTGCCCACGTGGCGCCTCACAATTTCACAGTCTCATCTCAAGCCCAGGACAGCTGAGCTGGGGATGCCCTTCGAGGGGCCTCTCCCCTGCTGCCCCCGGGATGGGGGCACCAGGGCCCAAGGGGGATGCCAGTCCTGCCAGGCCACCAGCCGGGTGGCTGCACACTGCCTGCCACGGCCCCGTGTCTCAGGGTGCTGTGGCCCAGTGGCCAAAGTGCCTATGAGGCGATTCAGAGGGGAGTGTCGTGGGGCCCAAGCTGGGGTTCCCCGAGGTTTGGGTCAAATCCCCACCCTGGAATGGCCGCCCCGACAGGTGGTCCAAGTTATTCTGGGAGATTCTATGAATAGTTTGCCACAGGGCCCTGTCCCAAGGCCAGATTTAGATTTCTGACAAAGCCACTCCAGGCTTCTCTTAAAATGGCCAGGCAGCTCCCCCAGGGGAGGCCGGCGGCTGGGAACTGGACCGGTTCCTCTCCCGCATTCTCTCCTTCTGACCTCTGGGCTGGGCGCTGGCACGGCTGAGCTGGGCAGTGCAGCCAGGGTGGGGGAGGCCGAGCTTCCACAGCCAGGCCCCACCCTGCCCGTGAGCCCCTCTGAGCAGCACTGCTGCAGTATCGAACTGTCCGCAGACAGAGAAGCTAAGGCCAAGGAAGGAGGCCCCAGCACCCCACGCCCCCGAGACAGCAGGAGAGCTGGGGCCCCGCTCCTCGGAGGCCCCCCGAGTGGCTCCGGACTCGGGTTCCCCAGCCGGCCTCAGTTTCCCGGCAGCGGGTCCCGCTCCGGCGCAGGCTCACCTGTCTGCAGGGCCGCCGGGCCTCACGTAGGTGAGGACGAGCGGGCGGGACTTGTGTCCGTCTTCATGGGCGCCTCCTGCAAGGAGGCAAGGAGGCGGCACCTGAGGACGCTTTCCCTGATGCCCAGAGGCAGCGACCCAGGTCTAAGCGGGCTCCCCTCATTCAGCCTGGGTGAGGACCTTGTCCTCGCCATTTGCAGGCCTTCTTGGGGGACACCGGTGTAAATCCCCCCCAGAGCGGGGCCAAACGTGTGCAACATGATCGAAGTCCTCTCTGCGCAACGGCTGGCTTCCCTTCCTGTGACTTCACTCCATTCCCTTCGCCCAGCTACTAGGCAGAGCCAGAGTTTGCTCTTAACCTCAGTAGCAGACTAGTGAGATTTCACCAGCATTTCCCGGTACACTCCCTCTCACTTCCCCCAGCCATGCCCACTTGACCGCTTGGCAGGTCTTCCATTTAACACTTGAGTGAGGTTCCTGGAGTGTATGAAGTCAGGTGACAGGTGAGAGAGCAAGGTGCCACACGCTTGTCAAAGCAAGCAGAACACATGTAATGAGCATTGGCTGGTCCCCCCCTCTCGCTCCGACTCACACTGACCTCTGAGGACAAAGCCAAAGCTGTTGCCCTCCTTGTAGAGGGAGACATCCACTGTCTTGGAAATGATCCCTGGGTTGTTCTCAGGGGCTGGGGAGACAGGATTGTCCCTTTGAGTCACTCAGTCACAGCGCTAAGCCCACAGATGTCCCCAAAACTCACTCCAGGACAACTGTGTGGCTGGTCACAGAGACTACAGGGGGGTAAACTCCTCCCGTACCTTACAGGCAGGACAAGTGAGTGACCTCTTCCCTAATGCCCACTTGGTCCACCACCCAGAGGGGAGAGGCCTGTCCATACTCATACAGAGACCATGGCAGGACTCAAGCATGAGCCCCTGGCTGTGGGCTCAGGGCTAAATTACAGGCAGTAACTCATATTTCAAGCTTTTGACCAGATTTGAAAATTCAGAATCAGGCTAAACATTAGGTCACTGTACTTATTAGCATGGGGTGATAGGGAGGGAAAAACAGTAGGACAATTCATCTGGCCAGTGTTGCCCAAACTTCCCGACTCAAGGAAAAGACATCTGCAAATTAAATATGCAGCATGACACTGAGTTAAAAACAGGGTCCTGCCACCTCCTGGTGACAGCGTACCGCCGTTGTGAGCAAAGCTCCTGGGCGAGGCATGGATGTTTGTGGCCCGTCTCAAGGGCCACCCACCCCAGCTGGCATGATCCCCACCGCCCAGACCCTGGAGGGGAGGCAGCTGTATCCACCCACGACCAAGGCAGCGGACAAAGTTCCCGTCCAAGGGCACCCACCGGGCGGGGGCAGCTCATACTCCACCTCCAGCACCACGCGCTCGCCCACATTCTTGAGCAAGGTGATGATCTCATCGTGGCGGAGCTGGGTCAGGTGGATCCCATTCACTGACCGGATGTAGTCACCCACGTTCAGCAGGTCACTCCTAGGAGGGAGGAGGCCAGAGCCGTCACATGGTGCCAGGCGCCAGCAGACACACCTACTCTCCCGCTGAGCCCTGTGGGTCTCCCGTGTACAGACGGGGCGAGCAGGTGCAGAGATCGGCCAGCGCCCAGGTCGCAGTCAGAGGGTGGCAGAGCAGAATTCTGACTTAGGTTGACGCCCTGGCCTGGCCGCCCCCCCCGGCTGCTGGCGCTGGCCTTCTCGCCTGCTGGGTGTTTCCCTCACAGTGACAAGTCTGGTCAGCCTGGCCCAGCACAGAGTGGGCGGCTGGTCACCTCCCGTGCTGGTCCCTGACCGCCCGTCCCCCCTAGCTTTCACAGCTAATGTCCACTCTGTTCAGTTGGGCATGAGCCAGAGGAGCCCCCGTGAGAAGCTCACGCACAGGTTTCACGGACTCAGGACCCCCAGGAGCCACGGACAAAATGACGGGAGGAGCCAGTGAAGCGCAGCACATGGGACCTTGTGCGCAGAGCAGAGTCTGCCTGGTGGGGGGCCGGGGGCTCACACAGGCGTCCCAGTGCCCCCCACCGCAGCTGGCACGTGGGTCGAGCAGGAGTTGGACAGGAGGATGTCACAGACAGCGGCCTGCTGGGACCCCGAGTGCCTGGCACGTTTGGGGCGCAAACAAGCAACCGCCGCAAGGCAAAACCGGCCCCAACGAAGCCCTCCCCCCCAAAACCCCCATCCTGGCCAAAACCGGCCCAACGCCGCCCCCAAAGCCCCCGTTCCCACTGGCCCGGCCCCTCCTGCTGCCCCCACCAAGCCCGCGTCTCACCTGGCTGCCAGCCCGCCCGGCCGCAGGTTGGAGACCCTGGGCTTCCCGTGCTTGTCGGTGCCGCCCGAGATGGTCAGGCCCAGCGTGCTGCCTTCTCTCTTGATCAGCTCCACCATGGTGACCCCCCGGAACTCCTCTGCCGACAGACGGGGGATCAGCGGGACGCTCGGGGCGAGCCGGACCCCAGCTCCAAGACAACGGAGGCTAATGCCCAGTCAGCGGGGTGAGAGCGTCTTTGGACACGGGGGGATCGGGCGGCCAGGTGCCTGGTCTGAGCTCGCGGAGCGGGTCAGCAGCAAGGCGGGCAGTGTGGTGCGTCTAGCCCACACCCAGCTCTCCGCGCCCCAGGCCTGAGGAGGAGCAGGCGGCTTCAGTACCTGGGATGCTCTGTCTGCGGCACGCCACGGCGACATCGGCTCCGCCTGTGTCCTGGCCGCCTTTGGAGTAAGGCCCGTCGTCTGCAGGGGAGAGGGGCAGAGGCCTGAGCTCTGCTTTCGTTTGCTTTTGGGCAAAGCCCTCCTGCCCTGGGGTCGCCTCGCGGAGGGACGCAGCCTCTAAGAAAGGCTCCTTCTCGCGGCCAGCCCCACGGAGTCTCTGCTGGGGAGTGCTTGGGCCTCCCCTTTCAAGGGGGGCTCTGATCGCTCTTGGGGCTACATAATGTTCTGTGCAGCACCCGTGAGCCCCACAGCCCCTGTGGTATAACAACATGCAAAGAGTTTATAATCTGCAAGTAGATGTTGGATAAGTGACTTCTTATGCCAATCATCATGCCAGTGATTCTCAAACTTCAGGGTGACACGGAATCACCGAGAGGGGTTTTCAACACAAAAGTCATGACCTCTGACAAGGAGCTTGTCTGTGAAATATACAAAAATTTAGTAACGAGAAGATCACCCAATATAAAAATGGGCAAACGGTTTGGACAGACACTTCCCCCAAGAAGACAGACACATGGGAGACAAGTAAGGAAAAGTATTCAGCATCCTTAGTCATCAGGCAACTGCACATTAGAGCCACAAAAGCTACCTCTACCTGTCTGTTAGGATGACTGCAATTAAAACCCGAGCGTGTCACCCGGTGGGGAGAGCATGAAGCACCTGGAGCTCTCTCACGTCGGTGGCTTGGCCCTTTCACACAGTTAACTTGGCCCTTACCCATTTCTGGGTACTGACCCAAGTGCAATGAACATATAGGTTTATTTATTTAAAAGATTTATTATTTATGCATACACGAACTGGGGTACAGGCCAGAGGCGCAGGGGATGAGAGGATTCACCGGGGACAGAGTGGGGCGCAGAACAGGCAGGACGACTGAAATGCACTGCTGAGGGGAGCAGCGGGGAAAAGGAGAGGTCTGCCGCGCCCTGTGGGTCCCTCCCTGGCCGGGGATCAAACTTGGCTGCGGTGGCTGCGGGCAGCTTCACAGTGCTGCGCTTGAACCGTTGTGCCAGCAGGGAGGCCCTGGAAACACATTTAAGCAAAACCCTGTGTGCATACAGTTATAGAGCGTTAGCCTCAAAAGAGGAAGAAAGTGTCTTTCAGCAGGTGGATGGTCTAGACCCTCTGGCCCATCCACACAAAGGAGGCCGCTGGGCAACAACAGGGATTGATCCAGAATGATCCAGAATGATCCTGCTAAGGGACAGAGACAGGCCAAGAGGCACACGGCTCTCCGAGGCAGGCAACGTGACACACAAACAACAGGCCAGCGCTTTCGGGGGCGGTGGGACTGGCTACAGAGGGGTGCAGGGGGAACAGCCCAGGGTTATGGAGACGTCTGACACTTGGCTGAGGTGGTGGTTAGGGCCCCAGCCTGAACTTTCCTAACCAAGCCTGTATCAGTGCTGAAATATTTTAAAACAAACCCGGGCTATAATAGAAGTTACGCCTATAAACATTTTGGTATTTCTAAAAAAAATTTTTTAGCATTTCCTTTAAAAAAGGAGCCTACATATCACAAGGCAAAAACACCATAATCATGCCTTATAGAACTAAAATAATTCCTTCTTTATTAATGTAATCCCCCTATTCCAAATTCACCCCAATTTCAATGACTTT